CTCTTCCGAAACATTCTCATCAGTTTTGAGTTTTTTTCCCTATTATTTCAGAGTTTGGACATCCTAATGTCTTATGTACTTCCAGTCGATTTTAAATAATCTGCCCTTTCATAAACTTACTAATTACACTATGCTTTTGGCCTCTAGTGTTAGTCGTTAAACTTACTAATTACACTATGCTTTCATAACCTTTGGTGTCGCACAAGGGCAACCCAGCAAGTCAAAAGTGACATCTACAGACAGAACTCTAACTGAGAAAAACTGCAAATAGTGTGATGGAAACTTCTCCAAACATCTAAATCGAGAAGGAATCTACCATACACAACCCTTCCTAGAGAGAGAGAGAGAGGGAGAAGAAGAAATGAGAGGGGAAGGCTAAGAAAAATCCTGTGGATTGCAATATGAGATTTTGATACAGAGACATAAAACACACATTGGATGGATGATACAACAAAAGTGATTCTTCTCTACTTCCAAACTCTAAACCAAACCCCAACTCTCCCCTCTGCCAATGCGTTATACCATGAGAGAAAGCCTTAAAAATCAACAAAGGAACCAAAAAAGGGGGAAAATGAAAAGACAGAGAATTCCACAGGTAGTTAAAACGGACCACAGGACAGAACAGAAGTACCAAGAACAGAGCAGAGAGATTCAAGTGGTTTCAGCACACAATTTCAACACCCTACCACTGCTACCTCCTTAGGCTGCATTTTCTCGCCTCATATCGTCTGTAATTGGGAGAAGGAGATTCTGATAATCGACCCGCCTAGAGAAGTCGCATGCTTGCACACGAGTGCTTCAGTGGCTTGCTCCTCTTCTTCAAACAGCATGAGGGCCTGCTTTTTCCCGTTCATCTCATAGACTTTTGTGTTAACAATTGCCCCGTGTTCTTGGAGATGGTTCAAGATTTCATCTTCTGTGACGTCTTGGGGAAGAGTTGAAAGGTGGATCATCTTTGTTGGAGAGCAGCAGTAGCGGTAGTTCTTTGCCGCATTGCGATTGAAGCGGTTAAGGTTAGAATTGACATAGTCATGTGAGTCGGGTCCTGGAGTTATGTTCGGATGCTTTGAAAAGTTTACTTCTAATTGCTTACCAAACAGCACAGCTCCCTGTAAGAACCAAACATAAGCATTCAAGCGGTCAGACCATATTAACGTGGCATGTCATGTTTCTTCTTAACTCAGAAGTCATCCTGAACACAATCTCGAGCGATTAGTCGGATTGCCAATTAAAATGATAAAAGCGGAAAGAGTAAACAGAGTGTATTAAAAAAAAAAACCTTTAGGAAGTGCACTGCCAGTTCAGCTTGGAAACCATCACCCATTTGAACAAGGGCATGGTCAGGTTTGTTCCGAAGAAGCTTAATCCTTACAATGTTCCCGTAAAGGGAGAAAAGATTGAATAGCTTATCCTCGTCAATTCTCTGAAAAAAAAAATACAAATTCGGGCAAACACAGAATGACATGGTAAGGAAAGCCGAGTTCGGTGTCATAATTTACAAACAGATAACATAAAGACTTAACTTACGTCGGGATTCAGATGGGAGACAAGGACTGTACACCTATCGTTTGTGCCAGTTATACCAGGAGGAAGTCCTCCTCCAAAGGCAGCTGCAATTGCAGCAGCATTTGGCATCTAGTTTTCAAGTACCGGCAGAAGGATAAGACACATATACATAATAGAAATTTGACAAGATGGATAAATTAAGCAATGATACGAAGCTTCATTCTTGTGATGGGAACAAATTTATTTTGAATAAGGAACTGGTTGAGTGATATATGAGCAAAAAGGAGTAGCTTGTACCACAAACACATAATGAGCTGAGAATTACCCACCTGAGGATACGCAACTGGAACAGAGATAAGAAAAAGAACAAAGAGATATGAATCAGCAGAGGAAAGCAGAGAAGAAGAACAACACACGAAATCATGCAAGAGTGACAAATGTACAGCAGTAAAATCTACCTCCTACGTCACCATAGGCAGGCTGCTGCAAGAGAAGGAAAATAAAAGATTCAGAAGGCAAATAATGATATAAACATTTGCAATGTATTAAAGATATATATACTAGGCATACTGCATACATGTGATGAACGGCCTTTCTGCTCTGGTGGCAGAGTTGGATTTGTGTAATCCCTATCCAACAGAAACAAAAAAAAAAAGTTAAGTGATAATCACAACTGAACAACCATAAAGAAGCTAATGCTTGTGTTGTGTCATGTTCATACGTGAGACATACCTAGAACGCTCATTGTTATAGTTTACTTGCAGCTCCTCGAGGCTGAAAAATAGACTCCAGGTCAATACACTCAACTACAGAAGGAACAATAGAGAAACCACTAATGCAACAACAACAAGGCTTTGAACAAATCAACACAATCGCAACCTACTTTGAGAATTGGATATCCAACTGACAACATCCGTCATATATGTTACGGCCCTGTTGCAAGAAAGGTGGGAGACATTAAACGAGAAACTAGAAAAAGGAGACCACTAGATTTCCTTTTAATATGAATTGTTAAAAAAGGCATAGCATAGATAAAAGAACCTGCAGAGATGTTCTGGCAGAAACAGAAAACTGTTGTGACTGATACTGCACAAGAGCTTGAAAACCTAGATTATAGAAAAGGAAAACAGGTTGAACAAACGATACAGGTAGAGCATCCAAGTGATCTAACAAATATGCAAAACTGCCACACGAGAAGAATATATTACAGGGCAATGATGAGAAAATAACACACACTGTGGATCTTATCCAAACAAGAAAATCAGACTTCAAAATCATTGAGTACAATCCTACACTACACCTATAGAAGAGCTAAAGCAGAAGAAAAGATGATAGAGTGAACTTAAAGAAGCTGACCAGCCGACTTTTGGAAAGTGACGATCTTCTCCACAAATCCATAAGGAGAAAAAACTTGATGAAGCACATCCACTGTAATCGGGTACAGCATGTGATGGATCGTGACTAAGAGAATACGATTTGGCTGCGCAGCCCATAAGAAGCCCCCAGCAGAAACCATTGAGACAGAAGACAGAAGACAAGAGAGAATGAATAGGAGAGTACACAAAGGGAGAACTTAAAGTTATAGTTAGAAGCCGAGAATGCAGTTTGATCTCTATTCTTGGCAAGAAGACAAAACGGCAGCCAAAGTTGGTCCACATTACTTTAGAATAGAACTCTAGAGTCTCGTAGAACTAAAGTAAACTAAAGTCCAGAATTAGGATCACTCTCATAAGTATACAAGCATACTATCTATTTCCATCATTTTAAAGGTACAAACCTCATCTCCTCGTCCATGAGTGGTTTGTTCCACCGTTGTTAATTCTTGGTGCGATGAAAACTGGATATAGACATTCCTCCCTCTAGATCAGAATGACCAAGTTGATCAGGGTGAGCACGAAAAAGAAAAGGCTAAAAGAGAATATTACTTCAACTGTAACTCATAACTCGTAATCTGAAATGGGCAATGGGACGCAGCAAATCATCAAGGCCAGGCCAGGAATACTATACCTTATGCTCGGCTGGACATTTGTATAAAACTGAAGGGCATTAACAGCTGCAGAAACATCTTCCATCTGAAGAAGGGCCTATAAAATAATAGATATAGAGAACATGAAATAAGTCTCAAGTAAAAGCCATAATTTTCGCATAAAACGGAGAAAGACCCAACATGAATATGCAGTGTTAGAACCTGATTCTTTGCTCGGAGCATCACAAGCTTGGTAATGACACCAAATGGCTGAAACAGCTGAAGCAAATCATTCTGTTGAACAAAAACATACAAGGGTCAATGACTTACTACACAGTCTGTATATGGCAATATAAACACCACAGAGGAAATCAGTGGCATACTTCAGAAATCTCATGCCCAACATTGCGGACATGAATTACTTTGGAAGGTTCTGCCATTCCGAACCTGCAACCGAAGAAACCTAAAAAATTAACCGGCGGTGAATGCATAGTTTTTTCCGCTCATATCATTGAAACGACACTATACGGTGTTCAAATTCGACGCTTGTAGATTCAATCAGGCTCAGTAGCAGCCAATTAAGAGCAAAAACAAACGATACAAAGAGGTTTAACTAATGCTTAAATCAATCAAACAACAACACATCGATCCAGAGACCAAATAACAAGGAAACGTAGGCGGAGGAAATCCGACACAAGGAACCGAAAGCGATTGAAGTATTTTGGACATTTTGTCCCGAGAAACAAACGGAAGGGGATCCGACAACCCCATGAAAGTCGCCTGAGAAACGCTTTTCAATGCACACCCTTTACTTATAGCCAGACAGGTATGTACTTTCTCCGAGGGACCCAAATCGTCAACACTTCAACTTGTTCTTTTTTTTTTCCCTTTAGAACAATATATTATTACATTATTCGACTCAACCACGAGGGCGACGACCCTTTCGACCGTCGGATGGTTTTTCTTTCAATCATATGTGATCCAAGTTATTTATTTTAAGACGGCAACGGGAAAACTAATTAATTTAAATCCTTGACTTTGTTGATGATAATGAAACAAATGCTGATAATATATGGATGTAATTATTACATTATATATTTATAATGTTGGGGGGGGGGAGAGAGAGAGAGAGAGAGAGAGAGAGAGAAGCTTCAGAGGGGAAGAGTAGATCGGAGGATTCGCGTGATGTTGTACAAGTTTAACCCTATCTTCCTCATATCTACTTCCCTTTCGACACCTCCGTCCCGTCATCTGGTGGGTCCTATCCCCTAACCCTCTGCTTCTCTGAGAGGGTGTTTGTTTTTTTCCTTTATCTCATCTTTTTTTTGTTTGGCATGTGGTACGAAAATATATAAATAAACAAATCATTATGTATTCTATTTTAGTTATATTATTCGCCTATTTTACTCGTAAAAAATCATTATGTATTCTATTTTATCTTGTTTTCATAATTAAATTTAAATATAATTATAGAATTAAATAAACCCTTTATATAGTAAAAAATTTAAATTATTTGCTTATAAATTTAGAAGATTTTTCTAGAATAAAGAATTTTCTCTTATTTTTTGAATTCGATTTTTGATATTATACTCCTTTTTTTTTAATTTCTACGCATCTTTATTTTTGTGTTTGTTTCTTTGCATTCCAATTTTTCGTTTTTCCGTTTTTCCTCTTTATTTTGCAACCTCCGTTTTTAATATTCCTTTATTTTGTTTGCATTAACTCATTTCTATTTTTTTTCCTCATGGTTTTTATATTGTTTTACATCAAATGTATAATTTTACTTATTTCAATATTTTTCTACATAAATTATACATTCCTTTACAAACTCGCATAAGACATCACACTAAAAAAAAATACGTCACCAATCACCATTCAATGAATCAATATACGTATAGCGCATTCTTCCAATGACCAAAGAAAAGGTACGTCAACAAACAAAAACATGCCAAACTGCAATGAGAACTAAAAAAAATAAACCATTGTTTTCAACAGGTATTCTAGCCGAATAAATTTAATCAACGTCACCTTATAAATCACAAATTTATTCGTTTTATGAATTCTTCATCTCTATCTGAATGATTTTAATATGAGAAAAAAATTGAATACTTCAAAAAATTATCTGAACTAATTTACTATATATATATATATATAGAAAATAATATGTGATGCCATGCCAGAAAAAATAGAAAAAAAAAAAGATGTTTCCTGGTGCAATGCCGTGCATGATATTCTCTCAGATTCATTTCAAATTCGACCAGACTGAAATTTTCAGGGAGGGTAAAGGACATTATAAAGGTTAGACACCAGATGAGAATCATGACCATAGCATATATCAGCAAGCAGAGCTGCGTATGCTATGCAATGAACACCTAGTCTTAGAATGCTTACCCTTTTCTCTTCCTCCTCCGCTTTGGCTTCGACTTCGACTTCTTCTGTCTTTCCATCCGAAACTGTCGTCCCGAGAAACCCAAAATCCAGGGGGCTCCTGAATTTCCGAAGGTAACCACAATCCCGAACCAGGAAACTCCACGAGTGCCGTGCGATATCGGCCACACACCTCAAGAACTCGGCAGAACTTTCGTCCAGATCTCTGTGTTGGTCGGGAGATTCAAGTGAATGAATCCAGGAGCATTTTTCACATTTGAGCTCGGGAATTGGGGGAAGGCTGGATACAGGCGAATCCCAATGCAGGTTGAGAGCGAGATCTAACAAAGATTCCCCGGCATTTGTCCAGAAATTCGCGGCCGAGAGAATGAGTGATGGTTCCAAGCTGAAGAGATAGTGGCTTGCACCTGCAAGGAACAAAGAGTAAGCGGCACTGATCCTCCCCATGTCAAAGGCGTTCGGGTTCAGGTTAGGACTCTCGATTTCAGAATCTACGGCTACCGAGCTGGTTGAACGGATTTTGTAAGCGGAAGCTAGGGTTATGTAGGCGTTCAGGGCAATGTGCTGTAAAGGGTGTAACCAGAAACGAGGCCATGGTTCTGTTTCTCTCGCTCCCCGAGGATCATTTTTCTGAATCCCCTGATTCAACATGCTCTCGATCTCCTCGCAACATGCTTTGGGTCCTATGTCACCAGACAAAAAATCATCTATGGTTTCCTCAACGTAGTCACTGATCTCTCTCGCCGCTTCATCTCTGTGAGCAGTTTCATAAAGATCAACAGTTGTTTCTTCAGGCTCGGACATAATAACTCCCTGGACGGCAAAAGGGATAAATCTTCGTATCAGATGATCAATATCCGACACAGAGCAGGGCAAACATACACTCGTAAACATACAACAAGAAAAATGAGTTGACATTTTTGTAGCATCAGGTTCGAGATTTTTCTGATAATTCAGCCTAGCAGCTAAGCAATTGCAAATATGAAGCCATTATGGTTGAATTGAAGCTATATTCCAAGGCAAGAATGACCAGTACCTGTAACATCGAATCTACATGAGCTGGTGGTGAAGCTGCACATCGCTCACAGCTGCAGAGAAATCGATATTTCGACCACAAATCTGACTGCCTCAATAACTGATTGTAGAGCAAACAAACAACAATTCTTCAGGCAAATAGATGAGAAATACTTCTGCTAATAGCTACCTTAATCACAAAATACAGGAAGAAATGACACGACGAAGCGGACAGAACGATCTAAAGTTTTCGAAACATACCTTTGGACGAAGCAGGTCAATGTATGATAGCGTGATCTCCTCACCCTTCTTGATCCTCTTGATGCTCCTAACAATTAGCTTCGGCCCATACCTCTGTGTACTTCCTGTATAAGCAATCAATCAATCAAAATTTGGTACGTTTTGGCTGAAATCTTTAGCTCCCAGAAGAAATTTCACGACCTAGGTAGGGTTCTGTATTGCTACGAACATCAGCATTTTCCTGCAACAAGCAACAATTCATCAACTCTCAGTTCCATTACAAAAAAACTCAGGTGAGAAATTGCATGTACATTATGTGAACGTGTTAACCTTCTCTCTGTTCATTGTGTGAGGAACCATCTTCGGCGGCCTACCGAGATCTTCCTGACACGACGCCGTCTCAGGAGAAGAGATCATGAAACGGTAGCAAGCGTTTGGAGAGCAACTATGGTTGATCCACGAGAACCTCCCGTCGAAGACGGCGACCCCTAGACCACGTCCACTGTTATCCTGCACCTCTACGGCGTTCGTCATCACCGCACAGAGAGCCGATTCCTCCAAAACGGCGTCGTCCGCGTTCGAGAAATCCCCTCGCGACCTCCGGACGGTGGACATGATGGCAGCGGCGCGGCGGATCGCCGTGGAGACGGAAGGATCGTCAATTAGGCGGTGATGATTGGTTAGGAGTCCGCCAATTCGGTGCGGCAAAGAGGAGGAAGTGGCGGCGGCGGCGGAGGTGGAGAGAGAGTTGAGGAGGCGGAGGGCGGCGAAAACGTCGGAGGAGAGGAGGGGAGAGACGTCGGGAGGAAGTTGAGGGAATTCTGCAGAGGAGTCGGAGAGGGAGCACGCGGCGGAGCAGTAGAGCGACGGCGGAGGTGAGGGGAGAGGGGAGAAGCAGACGGAGCAGTGAGAGGAGAGGAACGAATCGTAGAGAGAGAAAGCGAAGGGAGAGAGAGGTGGAGATATGTCTTGGGCGATCTCGATCTCCTCCGCCGCCCTCATCTCAATCTCCGCCGTCTCCGGCGGCAGCGATTCCATCTCCGCCGCAGGCCTGAGCAAAAACCTTACCGGCCTGACTCAGTCAGCTGAAACTAGAGGAGAAACTTTGAAATTGGATTCCTTTTCAATCCGAAACGACGCCCTTTCCATTCATTCGAGAAGCCAAGATTCAAGATTCAACAAATATTCAAAAATTTATATATATTTTACAAAAATTCTTAACTTATAAATTATTATAAGTAGGCAAACAAATTTGCCGTGAAATGATTTAATTTAATGCAATATTACTAGATTTGAGTTTTTTTGTGTATCAGTAATTTCAGATAAATGAAATTAATGTAATGTATATACTTAAAATAACACACAACTATGAAAATTTAAGAAATATCACTTAAGAAAATAAAAATACCCTTAAAAACTTTATGCAACACCCCGGATTTCGGAAGTAATATTTAATTATTTTAAAGAATGAACATTTATTTATGGATACGAATAATAAATCCGAAATGCGTATGAGATCGAAAGACATCTAAGAAGACAAAAAATTTGGATAAAAAAGAAGCCTAACAAGCCGGGCTAAAAATCGAAATGGAACGGGTCCAAACGGACGAAAAATTGCACGAAAACATATATTTAGGAACCCAAACCGATCGATCTATAGGTCACAGATGATGTACGCACGAGGAGGATGGACGAAGGGGAGTTCAACCGCAATCACCGGCTCACGAATGTGGCGCTCGAATTCACGGGAGAACAAGGGAAATCGAAGTGGGGTTACGGGGAAACGATTTCAATCACCGGCTCACGAGGTGGCTCTCGAATTCGAAATCGTTCCAAAGAGATGGAGATGGATAGATCCTCGGACAAACCAAGGAGGAGGAGCCGGACTAACCGAGCTCGACGAGGGACCGTCGGACACACCGGACGGCGGCACGGGCAGCGGACTCACCGGCGACTCGTGCAAGGAGGCGGACGAACCAGCCAAGATTTTGAGAGGAAAATGTCTCAAACAAAGTTCAAGTTGCTTAGATTAATCAAAATGTGCTGAAGATTACAAATGAGAAAGGGTTTAAGTAAACAAACAATAAATGCTAGCTTACATGCAAGCCTTAGAGTTAATGTGGACCAAATAACAATAATATGGCTGTTGGAGCTTTATGTGGGCCGAAAATCTTGCTAGGAGAAAGCCCATGGGCTTCACTTGGGCTTTAGGAAATATCTTCCGCGAGTGTAAGCAAGTTCCGGGCCGAATTGCGTCCGAAGAGTGAAGTGTTGTCATTAGACTCCCGGGATCCGCTAAGAACGTCGTTGACGGCTTTCTTGAGTGTGACACGAAGCGCTCGAGCTCTAGCACGAGTAATTGGTGGTTCGGCTCTATGGTTTGCTCGGGAAGCCTTCGCGTGGTGCACGTCAATTCCCGTTCTCGCGGCTTCGAATGATCTTGTGACGTTATGATCATCCGGCACGAGTCTTGACGCCTGATGGGCCAAGTCTTCAACGTCCTCAAGAGCTCCTTCCGTTAAGCTCCCGTCTTCAAGCGCTTCTTCCGTTATGCTCCCGTCCTCCTCCAAGCTGCTAGGTCCGATGTCCTCATCATGCCCTCCCCCTTGAGAAGATTTCGTCCTCGAAATATCATAACCTGCATCAAAACGAGATAAGTCAGTAACGTTAAAAGCATTAGATACAGTATACTCACCTGGTAGCTCAAGACGGTAGGCGTTGTCGTTGATCTTCTCAATTATGCGGAATGGTCCGTCAGCTCGAGGGTTCAGCTTGGACTTGCGTTTATCCGGGAATCGCTCGGGTCGGAGATGCAGCCACACCCACTCGCCTTCGTTGAATTGGACATACTTACGTCCTTTGTTTGCTTGGCGAGTATATTGCTCAGTCTTATGAGCAATGTTTTCCCGAACCTTTTGATGAAGTTGCTTAACGAACTCGGCTTTCCTTTCGCCGTCCAGGTTCGTCAATCCATCGCTCGGGAGAGGTATGAGGTCAAGTGGAGTGATCGGATTGAATCCGTAGACTACCTCAAATGGGGAGTGTTTAGTGGCCGAATGGACAGCCCTGTTGTAAGCAAACTCGATATGCGGTATACACTCAACCCAGCCTCCTAGGTGTTTCCCGATAGTAGCTCTCAAAAGTGTAGACAATGTCCGATTGACTACTTCGGTCTGTCCATCCGTCTGCGGATGACAAGTGGTCGAAAAAACGAGCTTAGTGCCGACTC